TWTTTWCAAAWCCGACCCAGGCCGTTTCAGTATGTGGTTTTAAATCGGATACATATCTGATGTTTTCAAAGTGACTGCAGTGTGAACGCTCATGTCACATTTCATCTGACTTTTTCATCAGGAGGAGGGGGTGAAGGATCGATAAGACACTAACCTCAAGTCTCGCTGTTTACACAGTCCAGTTGCTTCATATTTTTACTTTTCATTTTCCACGTAGATAGTATGATAATAACGATGTCCAGCCTGGGTCGCGGAGAGTATCAATCCTAAAGTTAGATACTCGGTCGATACTTTTTTCCAGCTTGTAGTTTTGTTCAAAAAAAACAAACAAAAAAAAAGCTTCACTGGAGCATCCCGGTCAGAGGCAGGTTCAGATATAAACACTGAACTAAAGAAGCAGGTCAGATAATTATTTAATCCGCTCTGATTAAACAACAACTTCTGATGCGCAAAATGTAGCATCCATGCTAGCTCTGTAAACAAACAAGCCGGCTGATGAGACGTCACGTCTTTACTGCGCATGCGTGTCACATCAGTGCTGTGTTGCGTTCACACAGGGGTCTGATACAGGTCACATTTAAAATGTAATGTGAACGTTCACACAAAAAGATCGGATTTTTTCAAAAAATCGGAACTGAGCATTAAGACCTGCAGTGTGCACGTAGCCATTGATTCAATAACATCCTTTCAGCATTGGTTATTTGGCTGGAATTGGATGATAGGTTGATGGTTGATTCACCATCAGTTATTGACCTTAACCAAAAATAAACTTTTTTGACCATAATTCCACATTGAATTAACATCTTTTGCTATCTGGGTAAGTATTCATTTTTGCAGGACATTTTAATTCTCTAGTTTCCTTTCAGTTTATTCATATAGAGCCAATTCTCAACAAAAGTAATCTCAGACGACAGTAACAAAAAAAAAAACTATTCCAAATGCATACATGCCATATATATAATTTTAAAAGAGTGTTTATTTCTTCTTTATTGGGCCTGTTAGCAAAGTGCAGTCAGTTAAAACATGCACCTGCCCGGGGACTCACCTGTGATCAGCGTATTTACCGTCAGCTCACTGAGCACGTTTAAAATGTCTGCACCAAACCATCATGGTGCCGTTTCTCCCCTACTAAATAACTCAGTCCATCATGCAGTTATCACTTGATTGTACATGAAAGTTTCTGTTTTGTACAATGTGTCCTAAATGTAATTTATGCTGCTGTTCTTGTGTGTGTTCTAGAGTCCTGTCTTGGTGAAATCCAGTCAGTCTCTACTAGAGTGGTGTCAGGAGGTTACACAGGGTCACAAAGGAGTGAAAATCAACAACTTCAGTACTTCCTGGAGGAATGGCCTGGCATTCTGTGCTATTTTACATCACTTCCACCCTGAGAAAATGTAAAAATAAAATAAAAAAACAACTTTATTTAGTACAATATATGTTTTACTCTTTGCAATTGTAAGTGAATATTGATTTCTTGTCATTTTCTAGAAATTTTGAAATATTGGACCCTTATGACATCAAACACAACAACAAGAAGGTTATCAACAGTTTAAATCAAATTTTCTTTATAATTATTGCTTGGTAAATCATAATATTATTCATCAATCTTTCTACATTTTTCAGGCCTTTGATGGTTTTGCTGAACTTGGCATTTCCCGGTTGATGGAGCCTTCAGACATGATCCTCCTTGCAGTGCCTGACCGCCTTATTGTCATGACCTACCTCAACCAGATCCGCACCCATTTCATGGGCCAAGAGCTAAGTGTGCTTCATATAGAGAAGACCAGCAGTGAGTCTAGCTACGCAGTAGCAGGGAGCCGGGAGGAGCAGGATGACCCAGAGGCAACAGTTCGCTACTGTACCAAGAGACTCCAGGAGGAAGGTATAAGCCTGGAGATGGTTGGAAGTGCAAGCCCAGAGGAGGATGATAGCAAAAGCAGTAAGGAGCTGGTTCCACCACCAAGAATCAAACGCTTTCAAGTTCCCGGGCCAGGCGGAGGCAAACATCCAGTGCCACCTCCAAGGACTCATTTTCTGTCTAAGTCAGGCTTTTCTCATGTCAGAGATGCTGATTTGGTGAAGAAGCGTCGGTCCCAGCGAAGGAGTAGTTCAGTGGAAGAGGGGGATTTATCAGTGGTATGATGCCTGACTACATTTTTACATGTTCTGTTTGTCTTTATTGTTCTTTTTTTCCTCATTTCTTTAATAAAAGTAACTTTTATTCATCTGCATCAGGCTGGCACAGGACAAGACCGGGAGAAATACGAAACTGGTTAGCTATTTTTATAAAGGTTTAACAATTCAACTTACCGGTATTGTTAAGTGTAGATTTCTGAGGATTTCTGAGGACGCATTGTTCATTCCTGGTTTTTTCTTTTCTGTATTTGCTTTATAGATAGAACAGAGGCTGTAGCAGATGAAGAAAGACCAGAGGGTCAGGTGAGGGAGCACCCCTGTTGGTTTAAGAGTCTGAAATAAATGGAACTGATTCTAAAATGAACACAAGTCCTAGTTTGGGAGATAAATGTGCATTCAAAGAAACTTACTGTGTAAACACTCAGTCAACATTCCCGATGCATCTTCACAGAAAATGTGATTTATTTAGTTTGTACAGTTATTATCTGGTTTAATGCTTTTACTGTTTTTGTTATGTTAATCTGAAAAGACACAAACATGTGCGTTTCGGTCAATGGTTCCAGGATCCCAGTCAGTATGTGCTGCATCAGATAGAAGCTCTGGAAGCAGAACAAGATTACATCGATAGTAATGCAAACACGGTGGAGAAGAAACTCCGACTGTTAATGGAAACAGGTAAGTTACTCGTTCATTGTGAAATAATAAAAAAAGTGGAATTATATGTTACAAATTAGCATTGTACTGAGAAGAGCCCATCATTTGTCAATGATCAATGGTTCTTTTTCTCTACAAATAGCCTATATGCCACGGACATCCGGCCCAGCACTTGATGCCACTCCCAACAATTCCGGTTCACGGTCAACACAGTGTTAGCAAAAGATTTTTTCACCCGACAACGACTCTTAATGATCTCCACAGTACAGAATTAGCATATTACATRTACCAACATTAACACAGGAGATGTACAGGTCCAGCCAAGTGGAAAAAAATCACTCCAAAGTGGATTAAAGCCATAAAAACAAAGGAAAGATGTTCGTGTTTATGGTTCCAGAATTTAGCCTTTTTTGCTATTCTGTGGCTTGTCACTTGGCTTTAGTCTACGCTGTAATATACACTCTAACAAGGTTTTACTTTTGCATAAAACTCATGACAAAGTCGCATAAAAACATTTCATATAACACAAACGCGGGCACGCACACACCTACCTTTGTACCGGCTGCTGTGTTAGCTTCCTCTTAGCTGTGAGGTGGTCTTTCCTCTCTCGTCTTGGGAGTAAAAGGGGATAAATGTACATTTCCCTTTTGTAACCTCCGTCTTCTCATTTCTGATGCTGGCTCTTGAATATCCTCAGGTTAGAAATGCCGATTACAAACACAAGTGTGAGCTTTTAAAGATAAGTTTTCCCTGTAATGCTATGATCCACTGCTGTCACCTCCTCATCAAGAGGAAAATGGATAAAAACTAACTACTCAATCATACCTGCTGCTTAGTGAACACAACGACACACAACAGAACTCATGTTTTATACCAGTAGATCACAGATGCTTTAACTTTTGTGACTTTTTCATGGACTAGTACTAGCAGCTCACGCTAAAAACATAGGCAGTAAGCAGGGAGTGGAAGGGAGGAGTGTGGCAAAAATTTTACCGGAAATACGTCATTAATGACCGTGGCATATTGTGCTTTGCTTTGGTTTTATTCTTTTGAATTTGTTTTAGTTTATTTATATACAGTACCATCAGTTCACAACTGGATCATCTCAGCAACATGTCCAAATCATATCCAGTTACATGCAATCAAATTTTGCCAAAACAAATCCAGATTCAAGTTCAATAACTTACTTACATCCTTACATTATCTTTACCCACTTCTTCCTTTCTGGGTCACAATGKTCAATGGTAACATGTCCAGCAGTCTGTGTGAGGGGTGGGGTACACACTGGATGGGTCACATATCCTTTACAGGGCCACATGGAGACAAACGACCATTCACACTCACACCTAGGGGTAATTCAGACTTCAAAACTAACCTTTGTTAACATTTAGTTTTTGGTCTGTGGGCCGAAAACACAGTACCTGGAGAAAACCCACACATGCATGGAGAGAACATTCAAACTCTACCCACAGACTAGACTCTCAGACTGAAGAAGTCTCTTGGAAGAGAGACGAAACGTTTCATTAAAGAAGAACCCGTCCAGAGGACCTATACAATTTTTTTCCTCTACCCACAGRGTTCTAATTCTCAAAGAGAAGCAACAGCTCTACCAACTGCACCACTGTGCAGCCCCTGCTTACAGGGAATTGAATTGAATTGAATTGAAATGAACTGAATCGAATATTATGTGTTATGTGTTTCTCAGGCATATAGGTTAATTCTATACTACAATAAAGTATCTATGTCACCTTCAGTTGTTATTAAAATGTTGTTTTTATGTTTAAATAGAAAATAAACATGACTTCACATCACAGTCGTTTCCAAACATCTTGAAACTGGTCTCTGTCACTTTAAGAACATCCTAAGATTCAGGAATTCCCATTTCAGCACATCGTCACAGCCACTTCATGTCATTTATACCCTGGAGCGTCATAGCTTATTTTGTTGTAATAATAATAATAAAAAATCAGCAACATTATTCAATATTGGTTTTGGAAAATTGCAAAGTATGGTGAAATCCATGATGCTGCACATGTGAAAGTAAAACTGTTGGGCCTAATCTTGACACTCAGACATTAATTCTGAGTTTCATAAAACTGGAAAGGACACGGTAAAAATAAAATGATATTGACACTCAGAGGTATGTATGCATGCAGTGGTGGGCATTGTTCTGCTAATTCACTAACAGCAGAATTAGCTTCTTACTTAGCAGATATGAGCATTTTTCCTATCTTTGGAAACCATTAGTGGACCAATTAGGTTTAGCTTTATTAGGTTCCACCATATTTAAGTCTGCTAAAGGTTTCACATGTTACACTTCTATGTTTATGCTGTTTATCCTGAATTCAATAAAAACTGTTCGCTCTTAAAACAAGTACTGGTAGCAGCTGAACTTCAAACTAAAAGTGCCAAAAAAATTTAAATTAATCACCATTTAACAATGTTTAAATAACAAATACAAAAATGACTGTTGTTTGACTAATTTTAAACTATAATAATAAAAATACAAACTCAATCAAAAAATACATTTTGAAAGGCGAAAACGTGGAGTATTACAAGTTAGACAGGGCTCTAACTCTCGTTTGGATTGGCCGATTTGCCACAGATGATCCCACCCACCTTCAAATTAAACCAATAGATAACTAACAACAGGTCAGTCCCACCAGTCCACCTGGAAGAAGATGAAGACTGAGTCGTTTTAGCAGTTAGCGTTAGCATTTATTTTCCCTAATTTATACCTATTTAGTGGTTTAGTGTTAGCAGAACTAAGATTCTAGTTTAGTGGATTAGAGGTTAGTGAAGCTAACCTTTTGGTTAGCTGTGTGTGTGTGTGTGTGTGTGTGTGTGTGTGTGTGTGTGTGTGTGTGTGTGTGTGGTGCATTACAGCTATTAAAATGTAGTTTAATGTCAGTGAATGTCACTAAAGTAGAACTATTTTTGTGGTTTGTAAGGATGATTAGCTGTTCAGCCATCTCAAATCAAGTTAACTCCAAAAGATAATCATTTGTAGATTATCTTCAAATGTTTTTACATAGAAAACCAGATGATTGCACTGAATCTTCATTTTGATGCCATCCTGTATTCTGAGAATCGATTCAGAAGAGGAGGGGCTCTAAAACTGAGCCATGTGGGACTCCACATGACAGGAGCAGAGATGGACTCATGAGCCCTAATAATGACACAGAAAGTTCACTCCGTCAGATCTGATCAGCACTGGAACCACTCTGTGCTCTGTAGTTTTAAAAAAGCTTGTTTTCCTTTTTCAGGAGGTAATGTTTGTAGTCAGAATGAATGTACAGATGAAGAACAAGGTTGGGTTCAGTGTTTTGCCCAACGATGAGGCTGGGGGTAAAAGGAGTTATGGGAAGAACAGAGGGGTGATGGGAATGCTCTCTGTTTCTGCAGGCTGTGACAAAGTGGAGGAGGAGAGGTTGATCCAGGAATGGTTCACACTGGTCAACAAGAAGAATGCTTTGATCCGGAGGCAGGACCACTTGCAGCTCATGTAAGTCAACTTGTGTTGGATGTTCAGAAAAATTAATTTCAGAAAGTGTAGAATTTGACACACACCTGTGAGTGATGTAGTGATGCACTGAGGTTCAGTTAGAAACATGCAGGGGTCTCAAGTAATTAGTCCTGGTAAACTGTGGAAATGTTCTATATTTTAATTTGTTTCTAGGACTCTAAAGCCATGTTAAATTCAGAAATTGGAAACTTTAAAGTTATAAAACCCTGTTTCATGTCAGTCTAACAAATGTCTGTGATGGTTCCTGAAAAGATCCATTTATTTCTCTACCTACTTCAACCTGTTCAGTCACAGAGAGCTGGATCTACCTCCACTCAGTGTTTTTATCCAGCACTAGTTCACAACAAGGTTAAAGACCTAGCATTACTTTAACCAATGCATGGAGTCTACCAGAGCATACTAAGACCATCTTATGTTGACAAATGAAGTCATAGATGTTTGGGTCAAACCTAAAATGAGTTAAAATCCACAAATTCTGTCCTAAGCTGTGTCTTGTAGGTGATGAATATCTTGTTGTCGACAGGCTGGAAGAACAAGATCTGGAGAGAAGATTTGAGCTGTTAACTAAAGAGCTGAGAGACATGATGGCAACTGAAGGTAGACTTTCTCTTCTAACAGCAGTCAGTGTTACTCTAAAGCCTTTTTTCCACAGATTTTGGTCTTCATTTATCGTATTAAATATTTACCTTAACTCATATTCTTTACAATATCTGTGCCTACTCAGTTCAGTTTCCTGTCTCACCAAGCTTTCTCTTATGGGTTTTATTTTTGGATCACTTGACCCTGCAGCACTTACAACATCAACACATCAGTCATCTGCCTGTTAGCATAGGTAATATAAAGATGTTAGCATCAACTAATATAAAGATGTTAACATCAGCTAATATAAAGATGTTAGCATTGGCCAGCTATTAGCCAAAGAGGAAGACTTCAGTCCTTTTCTTCATACTTTGGTTAGTTACTAAACATTGAACAGACAGAACATCACTTCAAACTAACCCTGTAAAGTATAGACAAACTCAAGGGAAGGAAAATGGTAACTTTTCTTAAAACTCCCTTTATGTTGTTTTTTACATAAAACTCCTAATTCTTCTCAAAAATCTGTTCATTACACTCAGGGTTCAACTTCACTTTCAAAGATAAATAGATAAATATGTTTCTCCATATCCACCCAGCAACAGTAAAGTGTCTCGATGCTTAAGTGGAAGACATGAATCTTTACCTGCAGCATTTGTTCTTTCAGTTTGACCGTTTTCATCTGGCCTCACTTCTGTTTCTTCCTGATGTTTTGCAGAGGGTCAGAAGTCTCAGGTTCAGAGACTCAGAGAGCAGCTATTGCTCCAGGAGTTAGTGTCCCTGGTCAACCAGAGGGACGAACTGGTCCACGATATGGACGCCAAGGAAAGAGGGTAATGTCCTCCAGCAATCAGATTATTTTACGTGCCTGTCTTTGTTAGGACATTGTGATGACTGACCTTCCCCTTCTGTCCTCATGGGCACATGTTCGACCCAGTGGTGTAGTTCTAATGACAAACAAGAGCGGATACATGAGGTAGAACATTTCTGACAGTATATAAAATATAATGACAGTTAAACACCTGTGATTTATCATCATTTAAAACAGATTGCTTAGACCACAGCCTGGCTCTGAACAGTCAAAGGAAAAGAATTATTAAAGAACTTTTATGGATCTTGAGAAGCCCAGAACACTGAATTTTTCTAACCTGGTGTCCGTCAGCCGAGGGGCAAGAAGGTTTGAATAAAGCTCAGTGTCTTTCTGTGGAGAGCAGTGGGCCCACTGACAAGTCCCTCTCACATGGGTTCTTYATCCATCCCCACTCACCATGCTGCATTATTTTAGCCAGTCTTTAAGCTGAAACACTTTGGGTTTATGCAGGTCTCAAAACAAAAATAAAATCGGTAAAAGTTGAACTCTGAAAGGAGTCCAGCTCTGCTGCTTTGACTTTAGAAACCTGCGGCTGGTTGGTTGCAGAAGTTGTGAGTTGTTACAACACTGACCCACCTTTTCAGGACTCAGCAAGTAACGTTTCTGTCTCTACCTTGCATGGAGGTCCAAGGTACAGCAGACGGAGGTGTCTGTCACCCTCTACACCTCTGTCATGTGAATGAGCTGAAGTGGTTAGAACACTTCTTGGTAACGTTATGGAGCGTTGTCTGAACAAGCGTTGATGTCCACTTTCATAGCAGCCTTRTGGAAGTTTGGCACTTCACCTCACCTGACAAACATCATCGTAATTTTTAAATACCGTCACCAWATAACAAAATGCCATCCTACCGCCCAAGCCTATGCCACACTCTGTGGGAAAAACATCAGTAAAAAAAACTTCAACTGTAAAAGCTGTGAAAGAAAGAAATGGTTCAGTCACATGAAGTCCAACTTTCTCTGAGCCGTTTCAACTRTAAGGGATGTTTCTGTCAAAGTCTGTCAGAGCTGTAGATCCAAACAGGACTGGCTTTTTTCACCTGCTTCACCAAAATACCATTAATCTACATTGTTTATGTTTTTCATAGTTTTTCTTTGCAAAGGTTGTCAATGCTGTGCCATGTATCTCTACCAAAATCATAGCACATAATTGCTGATTGAACTGCACATTAGTGGGATAGTAGTTGGATGAGAAGTATAAATATTTACCATTCTGACACCAAATAGTACACAGTCCATCACAGCTGCACGTCTTTAGAAAAAATATTTTTTTGGAAAGTCCACTTCCCAATAAAAGTCATTTTGGAAAACCTAACTGCTCATTTTTACTCAATATTTTTAATACCTAAGTACATTTTATCTCAGAAATTTACTTTTGATACTTAAGTACAAAAAATCAGATATTTTAACACTTTCACTCAAGTAATAAGACCCCTGGCAAAAAGTATGGAATCACCAGTCTTGGATGAGCACTCTTTCAGACATTTCACTCAGTAAAACAAACTCAGATCAAAAACATGATACAATAATAAGGTCATTCCAAAATGCAACTTGTTGGCTTTCAGGAACACTCAAAGAAATGAAGAGAAAACATTGTGGAAGAAAGTGAATGTTACTTTTATTGACCAAACACAGGGACAAAATATGGAATCACTCAATTCAGAGGAAAAAMGTATGGAATCATGAAAAACAGATAAACAAAAGACAATTCAAAATTCATCACTAGGCATTTAGTTGCACCACCTTTGGCTTTTATAACAGCTTGCAGTCTCTGAGGCATGGACTTGATGAGTGACAAACAGTATTCTTCATCAATTTGGTGCCAAATCTCTTTGATAGCAGTTGCCAGATCAGCTTTGCAGGTCGGAGCCTTCATGTGGACCTTTTTTTTCAATTTCCACCACAGGTTTTCAATTGGGTTGAGATCTGGACTATTT